AGGGTATGCGTCACCATATAGTTGAAGGCAGAATATTAGCCAGCCCTACAGCTTTCAGCCTCTTCTCTGGAGAAAAGGATTCCAATTTTCTTTGCCAGCATTGATGAGAGCTATATTCTGGGGGTCTGGCAGTGAGGATCCCCTTAGTCATGGCTGGAGAGGTGAATATCTCCCCCCTTCATCTCCCAAACACCTGACTTTCCCCCCAGGGTCAGCCCTGTGGGTTGTGAGTCCAGAGGGGAGAAACCCAGCACAAGTGTTCAGGCTGGCATCACGGGTCATCTTCTTCTTCTTCTTCATCTTCTTCTTCATCTTCTTCAGTGGGGACTGAGTCTACTATTTCTCCAGTCTAGATCTAGAGAAGTGGTCCGCAATAAGCTTCAGGCTTCTGCTCCAAGAGGAAGAGCCTGGTGTCGTGCCTGGAGCGTGGCTCTGTGGAGAGGCTCATGTGGGCTAAAATACGGGCTCTGTTGCTCCTTGGACGAGTATACTGAACTCTCCTAGCTGCTGTTGGTTCTGTCATACAGGAAGGGCAACCATTCTCATGGAGGGCTGTTGAGGGAAAGAAATAGGGTCTTGTGTACGGAGCGGGGCACTCGGGGTGTCCGAGATGGCAGCCTCCTCCCCTTCCACACTGGACTTGCCAAGGATAGCTTCAGACTCTGGAACATTCTCAGCATGGTGTCACCCCCATGGAGAATGTTGGAGTCAGGGCTTAAGCAATCTTTACCATCCTCTAATTTCCTTTGCAAAGGAAAAACTTTTCTTGGTGTTAGAAACCAACAGAACCTCAAACCTGGTCTTCACTCAGGGTTCTAAAAAGCCGTAAGCAGAGAGCAAAGGAGGAAAAGCCAACCAACACAAAACAAGAAAAGATGCACGGGGTCTAGCAGAGTGTAAGCAGAATGTGAAGCCAAAAGATGGGGGAAGCAGCCTGAAAAGGATGTGGAACAGAAGAGGAAAATGGATGCAGGCCACATAAATGAAAGGGGAAGTAGAGAACAAGGAAGCTGATTGGAAACAATGGGTAAATGATGACCCAAAAACAGTTGAAAAATAAACGAGCAGACCTGAGAAAAGGAAGTGGGCCGGAGGAAGCAGAGAAGGAGCGGAGACAGAGGCAAGCGAGCAAGTTGACAGAGCAGGGTCGTTTCTGCTGGAGTATGAAACACACGTGTGCACAGAGCTCTGCGTCTGGGCTCAGCACACATGCGCTCAGAGCTCTGCGTCTGGGCTCAACTCAGACTCCTGTAATTCAACACCATTTAGCTTGTCCCGCACGCATCTCTCCTCTCACAGCCCCATCTGTAGGAGACCCGGGTGAGGAGGCCTTGCAAAGAAGGCTTATCTCCTTGGATCCCTGCACTTGGTTCCTGCTGTCCTCAGGGGCCAGGAATGCCTGTGTCCAGCCAATCAGATAGCGGGTGGCTGTTCAGCCTGCCCAGAAGCCCACTGTCGAGGAATGGCCCTGCTCCCGTTTGTTGCCAGGAGGCCCCATCATTAGGCTTGTCTCCCAGTCGTGGGACATCTCAGAGGATCCAGGAATAATAAGAGGACCACCAAGCTCAGGCCTACCCTTCCTAAAAAGGTCCTTCTCTTGATCAGTCTGTCAAGTTCAGTGGAATAATTCAGTGACGTCCTTCCTGGACATCAGGTTTCTGTTGTAAATGGTGCCCTCGCATGCTCTGGGCTTCTCAACCAGCAAAGCTGGGTTCAAACTCGTGGAGGGCTCAGACTGCATAGAAGCCTGGGCCACCCCCAGCCACACAGTGAGGCAGAGCTGGGCCCTGACTGGCACGGAAGAGCGTTTTGTCACGGGCAGCTGTGTTTTCTGACCCTGGAGAGCTGGTGGGTCTGCGCTTGTCTCCAAGGGCTCTGCAGTGTGGCCAAAGTGACTTCTGCTTCTCTATGTCTTCTATTCATTCATTTGCTCACTCACTCATTCCTTTATTCAACACACTAGGCGTCCACTAAGCACCAGGAGTTCAAACAAGGGTCCCTGGCCCAGGATCAGAAAGGACACTCAGGGGCCCTGTGGGCACCTCTGGGAACTAGACAATCAAAAGGCCACTGTCACTATTCCTCCCACAGAGCAATTGGGAATGAAAGTTTAGGAGACAGTATTTAACCTCCTGCAAATATTCCTGTGGCATTTACTTGGTGCTAGGCCTCTCCCTCTCTGTCAAACACTAATCTGCAGAGCTGAAGAAGATCCCGTTCCTCCCTCAGGAACTCCCAGTTGCAAGCAGGCAGGGCAGATAGGCTGGCCACACGTGGGCCCAAATGGCAGCCCTGCCACATGACAGCTGTGTGGCATTGAGCAAGTTACTCACCCTCTCTGAGTGCATCTACTTGCCCATAAATTAAAGGTAAGTATACTGTTACGTGTTGGCTACCATTTATTGAGCATGCACTATGTGCTGGTTATCATATTCAACTATTTGCTTGTTTATTTATTTTAATTTTTCATATAACTCATTATATTTTTGTGTATGTTTACTTTTTAAAATTTCAAGTCAATTAATGAATTTTTTCCCAAAATAAGTAATATATGTTTAGCAATGAACCTGACAGCTGAGTGAAAACTCAGTAAAAGTATTCTTTACTCCCTTCTTCCCCCATATCCCCCAAAAAAGCTGAAAAGAAAATATTTTTTATTTCAGGAAAAAAAATAAAACCAACTTTACAGACCAATGCCTAGGGTGGGAGTGAGCAATAATACAAGAGTTCACAGGAAACCTGGATGATTGCAAAGGTCTAAAGTGCTTCTGCTTCCTTGCCAATTGCATTTATTAAGTGCCTGCTATATGTAACACACCATGCCAGGTGCGTTCCTCAGAACAGCACTGAGCACAGACATGAGAATGAGCTGCAGTCTTGCAGATAAGGAACGTCAGACTCAGAGGTTCCAAGTTCACCCAAGGTCACTTGGCTGGAGAAACAGACATGAGATTCAGCCTCAGGAGACCCGAGTCTGCCCACCTGTCTGTTCTCCCTCCTCAGTGACCCAGGGACACATGCTGGAAGATTTAGAGGAGGTCCCTGTGTATGAGGCATGGTGCCCAGAGTGGAAATTAAACCTATGTCATGCAGATTTGGCAAAATCAATCCAATGCACCAGCACAATGTTCCTGAGCCACAGGACTGAGCACAGTCCTGAGCACTGAGCACTGAGATACCACACAATCTTCCTTATCCTTGGCCTCCTTTCAAGGCCAACTGTGCCAGCTCTTTCACTGGGGAAAATAGGAGGAGGAAGAGGATGGTAGCTCTAGGTTCCTGAACTTATGATCCCTGAGGGCTTGACAATTTCCACTCTCACAAAGCTGTGTGTCTGGGAAGATGTGCCGCTACCATAAGGCACCTGCATGGAGTAGGAATTTCCCCGTCTCCCTATATCTCAGCTTGAAACTGACATTGTGTATCTCAAAAGGGGCAGTACATCAGCCATTTTATGTAAACTAAATATTATTGGATAAGTTCACAGCCAGGGTTTCATCTCTGAGAAAAGGGCATTGCAGTTTAAGGCAAAGAAAGCATACGCCCTCCCTGGGGGTTGAGAACTCCATCCCAGCCTGAGACGCCCAGGTCAGAAAGGCTTAACCCACTTCTTCCTGGAAGACTCTGGGGACGATGAAGAGATGGGCCAGAACACAAAGCAGAGGCTGGGAAGGGGGAAGCAAAGCCCTGGCTAGGAGGGTGGATACTCACCTTGGCAGAGACACAGTCTTGGTAAAACCACTATGAAAAGGATGCAGTGGGGTGTGGAAACTCCCTTGGTTAAAGAGGTGTGAACTTTGTTTTTAGTTGTGGTGGGGAGGGAGGCAGTGACAACCAGGAGGTATGCTCTGAACATACTTGGGAGTTCTCAGGGATGCCTGTATGTGGCATCACAAGAAAGAGGAGGAGGCCCCAGTGGGCCAGAAAGGGTTGCCCTTGTAGCCTCTGGAGTGACAAGCGAGTCCTGGCTGAAGAGCTGAAGAGAGAAGGGGACAAGTGTTACTTCTCAACCTGTGCAGAAATGTCTTCTCTTTTAATTTTTGTCCTGAAAGAACAAAATTCTTATGAATCACTAGGCCACAGTGAGTGCAGGGCTGGTAATTATGGGGTGAATTAGCCACCTGGACCCAGTGCAACAGGTCCATACAGGATCAGGCAGTCCTTTCATAACAGCAGAGGCCCTATGAAGGCAGTGGCGACACTCCTCTTCATTTGAATTTGTGGGATTGTCATCCATGGCTGTCTGCTTAGAACTGAAGGGTTTCCAACTTTTGGTGCTAAAATCAGGAAAGTCCAGGGCAAACCAAGAACAGGTGGTCACTCTAGAGTGTCCAACTCTGTGTTTTATCCCTTAAGGAAGAGAAAGACCTGTTGGTTCCAAGAGGAAGAGGAAGAGAAAGATCTCTCAAAAACAAAGATGAGGGGCTTCTGGGTACAGGTCTGCTCAGGGCTCTGTGTGTCTGAAGAGTGTCTGAGACCTCTCTCTTCAGTCTGTCTCCTGCAGGAGAAATTGGGATCCAGAGGGTAGAGGAGGTAGAGAATTGTTTCAGGGAACTTTGGACTAGACATGGGAATTATGGCTGTACCCCCTACCATCTCACTCCCTCTTAGCCATACCCATAGTCCTCTCTCCCGTTATCCACACACTGGTCAACCTTCTGGATAGTTGTTTGAAAATCAAAGGAGAAAAGATCTGTCTCAAGCTTCAAAAGGTCTAGATTCAAATGCTAGCTGAGCCATTCACTGTGTAGGTCTGGGCAAGTCTCTGAATCTCTCAGAGACCTGATTTCCTCTTCTGTCAGAGAAATCTATTGCAGCCTCCATCAAGAGTCTGTTGTGGAGATTAAACAAGATGACATGTGTGACATTGGGAAGTGTTATTCATTAGGCATCCAACCAATATTTGTTTATTCCAGTATGCTTATGTGTGGGACCAGAGAGAATCCCAACTTTGTTTCTCTGAGAATTAATGCTGTTATTTGTTTTCCTTTCTGATCCAGGCCCTCACCATGCCCACACACTCCCCTGAATCAATTTTGGAAGACTTTGAGTACGATGAGTCTGCTGAAGCCTGTGATATGGGGGACATCGTGGCCTTTGGGACCGTCTTCCTGTCCATACTCTACTCCCTTGTCTTTGCCTTCGGCCTGCTGGGAAATTTGCTGGTGGTGTTTGCCCTCACCAATAGCCAGAAGCCCAAGAGTATCACTGACATTTACCTCCTGAACCTGGCCTTGTCTGATCTGCTCTTTGTAGCCACCTTACCCTTCTGGACTCACTACCTAATAAGTGAACAAGGCCTTCACAATGCTGTGTGCAAACTCACCACCGCCTTCTTCTTCATTGGCTTTTTTGGAGGCATATTCTTTATCACTATCATCAGCATTGATAGGTACCTGGCCATTGTCCTAGCGGCCAACTCCATGCACAACCGGACCGTGCAGCATGGCGTCACTATCAGCCTAGGGGTCTGGGCGGCAGCCATCTTGGTGGCAGCACCTCAGTTCATGTTCACAAAACAAAGAGAAAATGAATGCCTCGGCGACTACCCTGAGGTCCTGCAGGATCTCTGGCCTGTGCTCCGCAATGTGGAGGCAAATTTGCTTGGCTTCTTGCTCCCCCTGCTCATTATGAGTTATTGTTACTTCAGAATCATGCTGACACTGTTTTCCTGTAAGAACCACAAGAAAGCCAAAGCCATCAAACTGATCTTTCTGGTGGTCATCATGTTTTTCCTCTTCTGGACACCCTACAATATCATGATTTTCTTAGAGACTCTTAATCTCTATGACTTCTTTCCCAGTTGTGACATGAAGAGGGATCTGAGGTTGGCCCTCAGTGTGACCGAGACAATTGCGTTTATCCACTGTTGCCTCAATCCATTTATCTACGCATTTGCTGGAGAGAAGTTCAGAAGATACCTTAACCACTTATATCGGAAGTGTCTGGCTGTCCTGTGTGGCCATCCTGTCCACATCAGTTTCTCCCCGACTGAATCACAAACGAGCAGGCGGGAAAGCATTTTGAGCAGCAATTTTACTTACCACACCAGTGACGGAGATGGGTCCATCCTTCTCTGAAAGAATGAATACCCAAAGCCTTATTTCTTGATGAACTGAATGCCCCAAAACAACCCCAAAGCATTTTTGAGAATGTAAGAATGTCCCTAACTGCAAATGCCAGGGCTTTTTCTTTACAAATGATAAAAATTTAACTCAGACTAACTTCATGAAAGAGGAGGTGGGGAGTATTATTCATAAGGTGGCTTGTGCAAGAGAGTGGATGTGCCCTCAAAGTAGAAACTAGGGCTTGAGTCCAGCAAGAATTTCCTCTCTCTGGCTCTCAGATCTCTGAGTGGTGACACAGCTTAGCCAATAATGAGGCACTGAGACCCGTCCCTCTCTGGTCCCAAGGTTAAAATTCCCAGGGAAAGGCTTTCATTGGCCAAGTTTGAATCAGATGTCCATCCCCAGACCAGATTGTATCCATGGGGGGAGAATAGATAAGATGGCAGCTTCCATTCCAGTCTCATGGTTAAAAGTGCAGGGAGACATCGTTCCAAGAAGCTGGAGGGCTAGGTGCTTTTTTGATCTGATAGAACAAGAGCTGCCCATCAACCTATGTGTCTGGGCCAACCTCCTCACTGATCACACCAGCCAGCACACATTGCCAACCTCCTCTCCCTGAAACCCCTTTCTATCATACCCCCAAACTTACAATGGTTGCCCAGTGCCTACTGCATCAAATTTGAGATCCTCCATCATGCAGTCCCACCAACAGATTTCCCATTTTTTCCCCTTTCTGAAAGAATCCCTCCTCTCAGCCAGCCAGGTCTCTTCCATCCAGCCATATGCATCATCACCTGCTTCCAGGCCCAGGAAGATAAATAGAAATAACCCTGGCCCAAACTAAGAAGGGATGACTTCCAATCCCAGCTCAACACTTGGCGCACTAAGTAGCTTGAAGACAGCCCAGCTTCAGCTTCCTCATCTGCAGAATGGAGATAGGGGTACTTTTTACATAGGGAGCATCCTTCCCAGCATGAGGAGCCAGCCACCAATTCTTGCAGATCCCATTCCTCTTATCTGGTTCCCAGACTTCAGCTTTCCCCCCTATCTGGCCACAGTGCTTAAGGGGCAGTGTTGGCAGAGACTTGGCTGTGTTATTCGAGGGAGCTCAGATACAGAGGAGGCTGGTTCCTACAGTGGCACTCAATGGACAGTCCTGGATATATAAATTGATGGTCTTCCCTGACCCAGCACTCCAGACTGCCTTGAATGTGCCTTTCCAATTGCCTTGTGGCAAGCACCTTCCCATCTGGAGAGAATCCCCATCATTCATGCCACTGCCAACCTGGAGAGCCAGGGTCCCAGGAGCATCTTTCTCCCCTTTTCTGTAGACATCTGGGTTGGTCTAATACTTTAGAGCTTGAAAAACAATTGTAATGCTGAAGAGAATGTCACCTGTAACCTAAGCATGCAATACCTTCATTTGTCCACCCAGAACTTGTTCACACTTTCACATGTTTAGAGTTGAAAGCATCATGTACAGACTGTTTTGTAATCTGCTATTTTTCTCTTAACATTAGGCCACAAATAGTTCCGTTTCTGTATAGTTTTGTAATGATGGCTTTAGAAGGCTCTGTCAGGGTGTGTACTCACTGAAGGCAACTGACTCATTGCTGTATTTCTGACACCCTCTTGGCAAAGTCAGTAAGTTGGTTTAAATGAGAGAATGAATTATGTTCCATCAAGATCACGTACTGTAATTTACTCACCATTATCCTTTGATAAACTTGTTCCCAATATTTAACAAATACATATCACAGCACTTCTATCTGTGTAATTCCCTTTCTCCTCTTCAATGATTTCCTTTGGATAGATTATTCATCATGGGGGTCACTGGGATGAAGGCACAGGAAATGTTTGGCTTTGGACACATACACACAAAATTATTATGAAATCATTATTGTGCATATATTATATGCACAGAGTGGTTCCAAAGATGAGTAAGGCCTCTGCCTGCCTTGATTTAACATTCAGGTGCAGAACAGAGAAGTAAACAAATAAATATACTTTGCATTAATTGGTCACAGAGGAGCAGTCAGACCTGAGTCTTTAAGGGTAAGGAGCCCTCCTGGCAATGGAGGGGATGGCATTCTAGGCTCAGGGAATGGCATATGTAAAGGAGGTGAATGAGAGCATTGGGATCTTAGGATGTAAGAAAAGTGTGTGAATACTGAAAGGCATTAGGAGCAGAATGGGTGGGAAGACTCTTCTGGAACATTGGCTCAAACAACTAACAGAGGGGCACATTCTTTTCAGGCTATCCACAAGTTTGTTCCGTTATCACTTGAACCTCATTGCAACTGTTGAATCATAAGATTTTAAATAAATTTTAGCTTATTTCTGGACTCCCAAGAAAAGAGGAAAAGATTCTTTGGGCTTGAAAAAATAAAAGTAGAGAGATAAGTGCTTTCATTTCTAAATGGAAATTATATTTGTATCATAAGAAACATTCAGTCATTTTGCTGAATAAGACAAAGTAAGGAGGAAATAGGAAAGTTCATTGAAAAACCCTAAATAGCAATGATGCTGGTGGCTAAATAAAGGAAGGCACATTTGAAAAAGACAGTCGATCCTAAGAGCACAGCTGGATCAGACCCACTACTGCTTCTGAGTTCCAGGCTTCCCAAAGCAGAGAGAAATGGACTCCAAAGGCAGAGAGAGAGATCTGTGATTGTGTCCCAACATATTAACTCTGTGACCTTGGGCAGTTACTTGACACCTCTGAGGCTCAGTTTCCTCATTTGAAAAATAAGAATAAAAGTAGTGCCTACCACCTAGGATTATTGGAGGATTTAGTGAGATTGCCTTCACAAGGCTCACCATGCAGGCCTGGCAAAGCAAGATCAAATAAATGGTGGTGACAACTTTTGGATATTTCCCTCTTCTCCTCCTTCTCCTTCTCCTTGTCCTCCTCCTTCTCCTCTTTTTCTTCTCCTTCTTCTTCTCCTCCTCCTCCCTCTCCTTCAGCTGAAACTTTCCCAGCGAAGAAATGCATACTATCTTGCTCTTGCCTCTGGGACTCTTAGTCCCAGAATCACAGAATTGTAGGTGTCAATGGGGGACAGGAGACCCAGATGGGGCCAGAGGCTTGCCCAAGATCACACAAGGAATTAACGAAAGAGGTAGATCCTTTGACACTCTATCTACTGATTTTTTTTTTCATCTTGATAAAAATAGAGCCCAATTCTATTATCTGTGGTTAACAATGTTGTATTGTATATTTAAAAGTTCCTAAGAGAGTAGATTTAAAAATTCTGATGACACACACAAAACTATAACTATGTAAGGTGATAAATGTCTAAACTAACCTTATTGTGGTAATCGTTTTGTAACATATACATATATAAAATCACTACATTGTACACCTTAAACTTATGCAATGTCATATATCAATTATATCTCAGTAAAGCTGGGAAAAAAATACAGACCAACCCCTGCCTCTGAGAGCAGAGAACACAGGTGAGCATGGAAAAAAAAAATCCAGAAGGAAGGTCTGCAGATCTGGGAGGGGAGGTCTGCCCTCCAGAATGCCAAGTTTAACAGAATCAGTCCACTCACAATGACAGATGGCAGCCTGGATGGGGCAGCTTTTGGAAACAGCTCTTCTGTGACATCAGTATCTCTAATAAAGGTGGTAAACAGACACTCATCAGCAAGGATACCAGGACTCCCAGAGGGAAACCTGTCAATAGGATCTGAGTTGGCAGGCAGAGTCTTAGTTGAGAAGGGCCACTGTCCAAGGATGGGCACACCCTGGGGGAAGTGGCCAGCCCCTTCCAGATAATCGTACACACTTTAGACTTATTTATGCTCATCAAATGACTGTCTGAGGGAGAAGTCATCTTTGCAAGGATGTCATCACCAAGAAAGGTGGAGAATACACTCCTTGGATTGGTGGGAAGAGCTACTACCTCTATAATCCACTGCATCTGGAGAGTATACAAGGTCTGGTGGGCTTTCCATTGTCTCTCTCTCTGTGTGAGTCTATCCCTGAGGAGAGAATTGACCTCTGGTCCCACAAAGCTACCAACTATTCATGGGAATATGGCAACTTGACTGAGAAGTCCACCTTGGGTATCACCTGGCCCTGAGTTGATGCCTCATTAGTGCCCTCAAAATTAGGGTAGTCTGTCCCAACCAAAGTTAATTTTCTCCTCCATCCACACCCACTTCCCTGGCCCATGGGGACTAGACCAGTTTCAACATGACTTGTTATATAGCTACATTGGCAACCCCATGGTAGGCTACCCCAAAGTGGTATTATCTGACAGCAAGTGACAAACATAGTTCTTAGCAAACTTAGGAATATACGATTTCCCTTCAAGACACCCTCCATCCATAGGAGGGCCAATTTGTTTTCTCAAGGATACAGGCACTATGTTTCCATTTCTGTTGAATAAGACATGTTATTAGGCAATAGCCACAGTTCCTCCACAGACACACCCTAGACAGCTCTAGAAACCACAAAACATGTTCAGCAGGAAAATTACTTTTTTCCTCCATATTTCCTCATTTACTGAGGTAGAAACAAAAATAAATTTTAACTTATGTTTCTTTTTTTTGTAATCATTATTTCAGTTTAAAGAACTTCTTGCCATTTACAACCTAAATCCAGTTTTCTCTTTTTTTATTAATTATTTTTATTAACATATAATGTATTATTTGCCCCAGGGGTACAGGTTTGTGAATCGTCAGGCTGACACACTTCATAGCACTCACCATATCACATACCCTCCCCAATGTCCATAACCCAACCACCCTCTCCGCACCCCGCCCCAGCAGCCCTCAGTTTGTTCCGTGAGATTGTCTCTTATGGTTTGTCTCCCTCTCGATCCAATCTTGTTTCATTTTTTCCTTCCCTACCCCCCAAATCCCCCACTCTGACTCTCAAATTCCCCATATCAGTGAGATCATATGATAATTGTCTTTCTCTGATTGACTTATTTTGCTCAGCATAATACCCTCTAGTTCCTTCCATGTCATTGCAAATGGCAACATTTCATTTCTTTTGATGGCTGCATAGTATTCCATTGTGTGTGTGTGTGTGTGTGTGTATATACATATATATATGTGTATATATATATATATGTATATATATGTATATATATATATATATACATATATATATATATATCTCACATCTTCATTATCCATTCATCTGTTGATAGTTGTCTAGATTCTTTCCATAGTTTGGCTATTGTGGTTATTGCTGCTATAAACACTCAGGTGCACATGCCCCTTCAGATCACTACGTTTGTATCTTTAGGGTGAATACCCAGTAGTGCAATTGCTGGGTCATAGGGTAGCTCTATTTTCAACTCTTTGAGGAACATCCATGCGGTTTTCCAGAGTGGCTGCACCAGCTTGCATTCTCACCAACAGTGTAGGAGGGTTCCCCTTTCTCTGCATCCTCTCCAACATCTGTTGTTTCCTGACTGGTTAATTTTAGCCATTCTGACTGGCATGAGGTGATTTCTCATTGTGGTTTTGATTTGTATTTCCCTGATGCTGAGTGATGTGGAGCACTTTTTCATGTGTGTGTTGGCCATCTGGATGTCTTCTTTGCAAAAATGTCTGTTCATGTCCTCTGCCCATTTTTTTTTAAGATTTTATTTATTTATTTGACAGAAAGAGAGAGAGATCACAAGTAGTCAGAGAGGCAGGCAGAGAGAGCGGGGGAAGTAGGCTTCCTGCTGAGAGCAGAGAGCCTGACGCAGGGCTCAGTCCCATGATCCGAGACCATGACCAGAGCTGAAGGCAGAGGCTTAACCCACTGAGCCACCCAGGTACCCCCTCTGCCCATTTCTTGATTGGATTATTTGTTCTTTGGGTTTTGAGTTTGATAAGTTCTTTATAAATTTTGGTACTGGCACTTTATCTGATATGTCATTTGTGAATATCTTCTCCCATTTTGTTAGTTGTCTTTTGGTTTTGCTGACTGTTTCCTTTGCTGTGCAAAAGCTTTTGATCTTGATGAAGTTCCAATAGTTCATTTTTGCCCTCACTTCCCTTGCCTTTGGTGATGTTTCTAGGAAGAACTTGCTGCAGCTGACGTCAAAGAGGTTGCTGCCTGTGTTCTCCTCAAGGATTTTGATGGATTCCCTTCTCACATTGAAGTCTTTCATCCATTTTGAGTCTATTTTTGTGTGTGGTGTAAGGAAATGGTCCAGTTTCCTTCTTCTGCATGTGGCTGTCCAATTTTCCCAATACCATTTGTTGAAAAGACTCTTTTTCCCATTGGACATTCTTTCCTGCTTTGCCGAAAATCAGTTGACCATATAGTTGAGGTTCCATTCCTGAGCACTCTGTTCTGTTCCATCCATCTATGTGTCTGTTTTTGTGCCAATGCCATACTGTCTTGATGATTACAGCTTTGTAATAGAGCTTGAAGTCTGGAATTATGATGCTGCCAACTTTGGTTTTCTTTTTCAACATTCCTCTGGCTATTTGGGGTCTTTTCTGGTTCCATACCAATTTTAGGATTATTTGTTACATTTCTTTAAAAAAATTGATGGTATTTTGATAGGGATTGCATTAAATGTATAGATTGCTTTAGGTAGCATAGACATTTTCATAATATTTGTTCTTCCAATCCATGAGCATTGAACATTTTTCCATTTTTTGTGTCATCCTCAATTTCTTTCATGAGTACTTTATAGTTTTCTGAATACATATTCTTTGTCTCTTTGGTTAGGTTTATTCCTAGGTATCTTATGGTTTTGGGTGCAATTGTAAATGGCATTGACTCTGTAATTTCTCTTTCTTC